ACTAAAACTATTTGTCAGACGAGTGTTGATTTGAACAGAACAAGTCTTTTGCTCAGAGTAGCCCTGCTCAGGCTAAAGCTGTGCCTTAGCTTCAGGAAACACACTATAATTAAATGCCAATAGAAATTGTTAACTTGGCAATAGCTCAAGCGCTTTATTGAATGAGGCCTTGATTTTTTTATGCCAAGGTAATGTTAGAGCAACGCTTGATTTATCCTGAATTTACAGGACTGTGACAGATCATAATCTAGTTCCTGAGCATTAGAATACTTCCCTGAAAAACAGGAGGAGTGTAGTTCACTTTTTATAACTATACTGTTGTTTTTATGGCTAATAGAATATTCTTCATACGTAATTCTGAGTATAGTCCTGTGGGAGCTGGATGGTTAATATTAGGCAAAGTTAAAAACACCAGAAAGGCAAAAAGCCCCAGTTCACTTTATGAAGAACATAGAGCAGTATTGCGTACGTAGTATGAATGGGAAAATTCCCTGCTTTGTAGATGTATATGTTTCCAAATGTGACTTTGTTATCTTTTTTTAAATAAGAAAATAAATCCTCTCATTCTCAAGCCACAATTCAGAGATGGTAGGATTTTTTTGTATTATTATTTTTCTCTTTTTCTTCAAACCCCTCGCCCCCAACATTTAGCTGTAGTCTTGCATCTAAACAGTACCCTTTGGATTTTTGTACTTGGATTTAGTATTATTGAATAAAAATTCACAATATTCGCAGTGAGAAGGAAACAGAAGCTGGAGTATTTCAAGCTGCAGTGTAATTTGGTTACTGAAGATTCTGATGTGTATCTGCTTGGTTAAGCAATAAGGATATTTATTCTAATGCATGAACCAGGTGGCAAGTGAAGCGATGTCTTATGTCTTATATACAAAAATCTTTACATTGATACTTAATTCATTTCAGAATAAAGGAAGTTGCATGTTACTCAGCTGTTTCTTCTTCCCAAAGATTCAGCAGCACTTCTCTGTAAGAGTTCAGTGCTAGAAACAATAAATTTATATTCATCAGCTCTATTGTGCAAAATTGTACCGATCTGGCAGTTAAAATAATATGATAGTGCTGAGCAATTTGCTTCTCATTTGCTTAACTGAGGAAGGGATTCAGTCTTGAATGTTCTGAGTGCCTTTCAATCTGGTGTATATATGATTAATGTCGGTGAGTCACTTCTGATGGGAATTTTAGCTTTTTCTCACACAACGAGATAGGGAGACTTTCTGCTCCTCCCACGACCAGTTTAAAAGCACTGCAAAAGACAGAAAGGAGGAGGTAATTTTTCAGGTTTTCAGAGTTGCACCCTATTAAAGGACGCGAGGAGATAGCCAGTCTGTTGGCAATTGCTGCACAGGTGTCTGCAAACCAACTAGGACAGCTGAGATTGGGATAGAAGTGTAAGTAGATTGTTACTCGCTTGAGAAACCATCCATTCTCGGTGTTTATTTAAATTCAGAATTTAGCTGGCAGGATTGGTACAGAAGAAGGGGGAAGGAGGATTTGGGAGGGAAATAATTCTGAAGGTGCAGGAAGGCAAATAATGAAGTGAATCCTGTAGGGGTTCATCGTAGGAACTAGTGGAGCTCTGGAGACCTAAGCTGGGGCGAATATAATGCTTTACATAGGTTAGCTCAAAAGCTTGCTGTAGCTGAATGTGAAATAATGTAGGCAT